CAAACAGCCAATCGTTGCGCGTGACGCAAACGTTATTTTTATATAAATAAATAAATATGCCGTTTTCAAAATAAATTTATGCAAACCGACACACCTGATGATGACCGTTTGAGTTATGGTCGAAACGTCGTGAGAATTTTTTTTATTGTTTTATATATATTTTGTTATTTTGTTGTTTCTCTTCAACGTGACTTTGCCGAAAAAACTAAGAATAGGTGTTAAGTTGTTAAAACACCAAATGGGGAAACCCTATTCTTATATTTTGATACTGGCAAGGGAGGTCCCATTATTCAGACAGTCATTCGAAGGGTGAATCAATGCCAGACAAGATCAGCCTATTATACAATCACCCTTTTAACAATAAAGTTAGATCACATGAATATAAATGTGTTATTAACTCGCCACACCCGACGCAACCAATTCGCAAGGGTCGCCACGTGAACAAAACGCGCCAATTAGTTACTTACTAGAGCACAGCGGTGTGTTGGAGAGTAAACCCACCCACAACATTTGAGTTCGACGTTTCGCTGGTGACTACAACAGCCAGCTTCGTCAGGCGATTGGTCACGAAAGCCTACGGGTTAACCGGACCCTTTTTGACACGTATTAACTTACCACAAACCTTATCTTATTTACGTTTGCCCACCGTCCGTCACTCGTTCTTGATTCAACAGACTAAACAGGACGCGATCGCTCGGCTGGACAGATTTATTTAAATGCTTTTATTTTTTGTTGCCGCTCAAATATTGACAGGAGCTCGTTGGCAGTCCGAGCGCTGAGCAAATAAGTCGCGGCCCGATCGTTGCCGCGTACGTGCACAGCTAAAAAGTCCGAAACATTTGTTTAACCGAACGCTCACAATGGGTCCGGTCCATCACGAACGTGCCCACGCTGATCATACACAGAGTGAGCTCTTTGGAATAACAACAACAGCAACAACAACCCCGTTTTAAATGTTGCAAAAACTGGCTCAGACTCAACGATGGCTCCGCGAACAGGTACCCTGGGCGCCACGGTGGTGAGATGTTAACTACCTCGCCTTGTATACAGAAGTGTCGTGGGTTTGATCCCGACCCAGTTTCCTATTTGGCTGATATAAACTCCCGCGCGATAAGCCACTTCGTTGAGCTATCATTTGTGGCCAGGTCGCTTCTGACAAAAAGAGAGCTATATAGCTCAGTGTGTCTTGCCTTTTAAAACAATTAAAAATAGTAAATACCTAAAATGAAGATATAGTAATAGGTTTTACCCTTTTAACTGGCACAAAAACTGACACCTTTATTCAAGGCATCATGTTTGCAATAACCACAACACAAGCAGTCAAAATACAAACAAAAGAGACAACTCTGATAATAATATGCACTGTCCTCGAATTTGATTGGTCCACACCCGAGACGGCTTTTCTTAGAGCCTAGTCTCCACTGGTGTTGGACCAGAAGACGCCAAAAGGCGTAACACCTATTGCTATATCTTGTTACTGGCAAAGGAGGTCTCATAATGTAAATACCTAAAATCAGTTTATCTCGGTCGTTCGTGTTAACCATCTGCCACCCACCGTCCCTTCTTGTGATGTGGCCTGACCAAGCCCGCCAGCAATATCGCTCAGTGAGCTTTACCTGGTCAAATAAATAAAAATTAATATCTTCATGTTAATAGTCCGCCAGTCACTGGTTCAATGGTGGTGGTGGTGGGCATGTGATGTTCTTGGGAGTCCGATGTCATTCGGGCCACGCTTGGCCAGGAAAGGGGAACGCGACGCGAGGCTGTCAAACTCCACGAGCATCCATCCGCCTGCTGCCGCCTTCATTTCGCTTCACCTGGCCGCAGTACCACGACAAGCCCCGTCGTTCACAGTCAGTGGCCGCTGATTGATTCAAGTAGATTCATCCTTGTGAAGACGACACGCCTCATTCAGACGTCAGGCTTCGGAATACATTGTGGCTGTCCTATACGTGGAAATGTCTTGGCGCGGTTTGCATTAACCCCGGAGCAAGGAATTAAATGCGTGCCCACCACTGCTTCGAAGTCCAGCTCATCCCTCCCTTCCCGCCGCGGGGCAGCCGGCGCAGCTGCACCGCCTGCACACCAACAGTGGCGATTGAATTTCCATGAGGGCAATACGAATACAGAGAGCAGTGCGCTCGCAGAATTGTACAATGGACGTTACGCAGTGCTAGAGTGTGTTGACGCGGAGTGTGTGTGCAATCTGAAGTTATTCTAAACAAATAAAACGTGACGTTTTTTTATTGAATTAACTTTCAACGTTGCGACGTTGTAGTGTTGCTGTTAATATGGTGGCTCCCAAAGGCACCGCGTGACATTTAGTTGGATGTTTCTTTAATTACTTAAGCGGATTAAATCGTGGTTTGAAATCTCATTCACCCATCAAGGGGCTGCTCAATTGACATTTGCACAGGACTGTATGATATCACGTTCTGTAGACACTTACCCTGTATACATAATGGACAAATCTCGTCTCAGAGTGAGCCCGATCATATCAGATTGTGCAAACTCGGCAGGCTGCGCTCCGGCTCTCGTGAGGTCACGGATGCACGACGGACCACACTGCTGAGAAGGTGATTGCCTGCAACCTACCAACCCTCGAGGACCTGCACACCTCGAGGACCATGAGGCGAGCGAGGAAGATTGTGGCCGATTCCTCCCACCCTGGATACTTCTCTGTTCCAGCTACTCCCTTCAGGCAGAAGGCTTCGGTCCATCAGGACCAAAACCTCACGCCACAAAAACAGTTTCTTCCCATCCACTGCTGGCCTCTTCAACAAGGCCAAGGGCTTACACTGACTTTAACATTTTATCTACAAAATGACACCTTGCCATATTTACACTGTTACCCTATTTGTATGTTTTGCATTTTTAGATTGTATCTTATAGCTACTTTATATTCAATATTTATTCAAAATTTTACATACTTTAGCCCCTTAGTGTTAGTTAGACTTTGTACCTTTAGTATAGTTAGACTTGTATACCACTTATTTTAGATTTAAGATTGCTATATGTTGAATGTATGCACCTTCCTGCCAAAGTAAATTCCTTGCCTGTGCGAACTTTCATGGCGAATAAAACCCTTTCTGATTCTGATAACAGTTGCTATAGGCTACGCGAGGGTTACGCGGTAGGCAGCACGTGGAGGTGCAGCAAAATAATATAATAAAATAATAATAAAATAATATAATAAAAACAATGTAATAAAAATAATATAGTAAAAAATAATGTACACCTCTAAAGCGTCTTTCGGCCGGAGATCACAAGTCGCTGTACAGACAAAGATCCCCCGAATAGCCTGAACAGGCCGTTGGGGCAAGTGCTGTTAGCGAGCAAACTGTGAAAGCCGGCACGGCACATGAAGGGGTGGGTGACCAGCACCACGCCCGGTCGCCTTTGTCTCCCTTGTGGTGATGTTTACACACCCCAACAGGTACTCATTTGAACTCGGGTCGCCGGGTTCATAGCGCAGCGCGCTAAACGCTACACTGCCGCTATATAACACACACACACGGCACACGTGTGCAGGCTGTTTGTTGTGCCGTAACTTCTTCTACGGCTCTCCGACTTCACCAACGCCCCGCGTGGTGAAGTATGGTCAAACAATGCAAACGCCGAGCGGGAACGTGGGAATTCAGCCCCTCGTCCAACAGTTAATAGGTCATGGCTTATTCTTAGTTCTTTCGGTAAAGTCACGTTGAAGGGAAACAATAAAATAATAAAATATATATATAACAATAAAAATTCTCACGACGTTTCGACCATAACACAAACGGTGTTTTATATATATTATTATTTTTGTGTTATGGTCGAAACGTCGTGAGAATTTTTATTGTTTTATATATATTTTATTATTTTATTGTTTCCCTTCAACGTGACTTTACCGAAAGAACTAAGAATATGAATTACTGCAGTCACGAAAGCTTTAAATCAAAATTTAGGTCATGGCTTTATTGATGATGATGATGATTTGTACTTCAGTGCCCCATTAAACATTGAATGGCAACTGCCTCTTGCGCATCACAGCTATGCACTTATAGACGCATTACAGATTGTGCAGTTGCAATTATTCGATAAAACTGAATAAATAGGAAATGTTAAGTTCGAGTGAAGTGCAGTTTAATCGCGACTATGGGGAAATGTTTACGTCTTTGTCCATTTGAACTTCGTGGGTGAACATGCACACGTGAGGGGCCGTCCATAAATGACGTCACGCGATTTTGGACGATTTTGGACCCCCCCCCCCCCTTCGTCACACGGCGTCACAAAAAGTCAGACTCCCCCCCTCAAATATGACGTCACAAAGCTCTGCCCCCCCCCAACCAAAAAAAACACGCTTCAAATCGCTTTAAACTATTGTCATTGTAGTGCGTATTTAATGTGGCGCTGCACTCTGATATTGTAGAAAACATTTATTAAAAAGTCTATTTAATTAAGTAGAACGTGTTGTCTATATTTATATATGTGACGTCACATTTCCCAAACCCCCCCCTCGTCACACATCGTCACAAATGTCTGACACCACCCCCCCCCCCCCAGGTGCGTGACGTCATTTATGGACGGCCCCTGAACGTACAAACGTGAACGTGCACGCGTGAACGATGTTGTGTGGCCACCGCGTGCGGGGATCGAACTCCGGTGTCTAACGCCGGGGGCACGTCCGTAGCGCTAACCACTGCGCCACCGCTCCCCACTCACTCACTCACTCACAAAGACGGAGATCCTCCGCGTAGCCTCAATAGGCCGTTGGGGCAAGCGATGTTAGCGTGAGGCACCTGTGAAGGTCAGCACGGCACACGAGCTGGGCTCCGCCACGCCCGAGAACGCTACGATTGTGTACGCACTACACGAGCTACTCATTTGAGGCCGAGTCGACCTCGGGGAGTCCCAGGACCGGTCAGTTCAGATAATCGTCGACCGGCGTTGTGGCCGCGAGCCGGAATCGAACTCCGGGGTCGCCGGGTTCGTGAGCACAGCGCGCTAACCACTGCGCCACCACTCCCTCCACACACACACACACGCGCGCGCGCACGCGCACACACATGACAACACGCGGCACCTGCTGGAACCGTGTCGTCATTGACCACGTAGGAGAGAGGATCTGCTTCCTCCACTTCCGACTCGAGCGAACCGAGCGCACCTGGGGCAGGCAGAGGAGGCAGGTTCGTGGTGCGGACGCTACCAGGTGTGAGCCCCCCCCGCCGCCGCGCCCCCCCCCCCCCCGCGCGCCCCCCCCCCCGCCCCCCCCCCCCCCCACGCTAAGGTGTATTAAAAATCCGTTCCCACAGGTGAGGCGAGAGTTGCGAGTTACCGAAACTGCGCCGAACCGTGCGTGCGTTTACATCCGCGGTGAAGTCAACGAGAGCCAACGTGATCGTATCGCTTGCCCTCTTGCTTGCTATCGGAGACCGCAGCGCCGTCTCTCGTTAACAGCCCGCCAGAAGCCGGCGGGTGGATATTCCACGTTCCTATGACGGGTACGTTGCGCGTCGAGTTTCTCCATCGAGACAACTTGTTGACTTTCCCAAACTTATCGGGGGGGGGGGGAGCTGCCGTCATCCAGCAGTGGATTTGATCTTCGGCTGGTGGTGGTGATGATAACGATGGTGATGATTTACCAAATAATATATACACGAACGAGCGGTGCGATTGAAGTTTATGCCGTCCATAATACTGTGGTGGTTTGCGGTGTACAGCGTCACAGCCTCTGTACCTACGTGGTAGTTTGGTGACTGTGCCATCATCCTCACCCTACTGGGGTAGAGCCCTCGCCGCCCCCTACAATCCACCACTCCCCCCCCCCCCCCTGCGATACGTAAATCCACTCAGTTAAGTTTTTTGTTAGTTTATTTATTTTGGTATAGCCCTGTGAGCCATTCGGCTCTTGAATCGGGTGCAACCACAACAAACACAAAAACAAAAACACGAGCAAGAAAAACATCTCGGCACACCCGCAAACACCCCCCCCCCCCCCCATTAATTTGGCACAATTATACGACCCGTGTCACAGGTCAGCTGGCCCCTGATGAATCTGTCGTCTCAATGATATTGTTTTTGAATGGACCGTATACGTTTAAGTAGACGTAATCGACCGTGAATGTTTTGCGTTCCTGCAAACGGAGAAATAGCAGCACAACTGCACGGACGAAACTCCCTGCTGGATGGAGCCTTCTACGTCGCGACCTTTTGCAGACTTCGACGTTGGCATCGAACTCCTGAACGCACAATATCGCTGCCATCGTAGCAAGACTGGTATAGCATGCGTACAGGCATGAATAACGCCCTAGCACATGAAACTTATTATGATTACAGTATTGTCGCCTGGCTCACCGGGAGATTATGATTGCAGTATTGTCGCCTGGCTCACCGAGAGTTCAAATGACGTGCATCGAGGTGAAGGGTGCAGCCCTGCAATTTCGTGCTCACCCCACTACCGGCGGAAGGGCCTCCACTCTCGAGAGAATCTCTCTTAGAGAGAGCTCTCCTCCCCCCACCCGCCTCTTCATCTGGTACTTGAGCCTACACGCTGACCAGACGTCTCGGAAGGAAAGAGGTGTGACGATCCACACGTTACCCCACCACACGCAGGCACGAGCAGCCGATCAACGGAACTGTGAGGGGTGGCCCTTTTCGACCGCTGGGCGGACAGAGGTGGGGGGTTTGCCACGGTTGCGAGATGTTGACGACCTCGCCTGCTATACAAGAGGCCGTGGGTTTGATCCTGACAGCTGGCGCCTGATGTATATTTGGAGTTTCCACGTCTTGTCTTCCCGTGGTTCGCGTGGATTTTTCTTACGGGGGCCTCCGTTTGTTACCTCCACATTTGGAGTAGTTGGCTGCTGTAAATGACCTACGTGATAAGCCGCTTCGTTGACCTCCATTGTGTATGGCCCAGGTCCCTTCTAAAAAAAGAGGTATATACACACACACAAGGTGCTTCAAAGAAATGTTGACACTTACATGGGACTATCGTTTTTGTTAATGGAAAAAGAGCGGATAATGCACTGTAACATAACAAATGTAACGTTGATAGCTTCAAAAAAGTTAAAGAGTCTCCCACTTGTTCCACCCCTTCCCGTCCCTCCCCTACCCTTTCCGTGACCCCTAAGTACCCTCTATCGCTATCACTCATCCTTCAACCCTTGCACGCCCCTGCCATCTAAATCATTATATTATGTTTCCGTTATTTAAACTATGTCAAGCGCCTTAAGTGAAGGCACTCGGGCTCCATGAAGCCGCGAAACGTTGCGCTCGAAGGCCAGTCCAGTAATTAAGTCGTTCAACCACACGCTTTTTTTCCGCATTGTCTACGGTGACCGTGATAAACAAAAGTGGCAATTAACGTGTTGACGAGACGAGCCCATTGACCACATCGCAAGCACTGCACTGCTGCGGCTGCAGGCTTCACCCCTTTGAAGGATGAATGAGCGGGAGATCCACTCTGCTGCAGAACAAACGGTTGAGTGGATAGCGAATCTAACATTGCATCTTTAATCTGCTGTTATTAAACCAATACCAAAAAAAGACCGTCTCTTTTTCAAGGGTCAATGGTTCATCGTTTATTCACAATGCAGCTGCAGTCTCTGAGTTTGTTTTGTACAATTGGTCAAGGAAGCCATTTCGGCCCCGCAAAAGCGGAATTTGGTTTAGCGTGATGAACAGGTTTTTTTTATTCTACAAGAAGTGCAGTGGGCTGACGAAACATTTCCGGATCAAATCGGCAAGTGTTCCGAACCCTGCTCTCCCCCCCCACCCCTCATCATGACGGTATATTAGTCCTCTGCCGAAGCTGAATGAAGGTATTATTTCACCGGAAGCATCGGACGACATTGGCGCGTTGAGCCCTGGTCCACGCAGTGCAGCTGAGTTCACGTTGTTTAACCAGGTGGGAACTCAAGATTCCTGGACGAACCGCATCTGCAAGAGTCACTCGGGGTCATTTAGTCTGCCAGTCGGGGGGGGATCGATGATTGCCGCTGTGTGTGTGTGATCTCAAATGAGCTGGGTGCGGGAGTGTAGCGGTTAGCCGCTACGCTGCACTACGAATCCGCCGAGCCCGAGTTGACTCAGCCTCAAATGAGTATGCACTGCATTGTGTAAACATCGCCACTGGGGAGACAAAGGCGGCCGGGCGTGGTGCTGGCCACCCGCCCCTTAATGTGCCGTGCCGGCTTTCACAGGTGCTCGCTAACAGCACTTGGCTCCAACAGTCTGCTTTGATTCCGAATTAATAATTTGTCGCGAAAAAGATTTCAACGTTGGCAAGTGCGGGCCTTGGCGCTGGGCAGCACACAGCAGCCCTTTTTCACTTGCGAATGACGTCGCACGGGGGTCTTCAACGTGCAAGTAAAAAAATTCGTGTTTTAATATTTCCGTGGGTTTTTTTTACGGCCCCTTTATAACATATGCTACAGGCCCCCCACACTAGCTTAATCCGGCACCGGTGGGGGTCTTTGTACAGACGTTTGTCAGACCACGGGAGGTGGGGGGAGAGGCCTTCACCCAGCAGTGAATTGACAAAGGGCTGTAAACGAAACTCATTCATTGGCCAGCGCAGACATGGTCTATCCACTGCCGGATGAAGGCCTCCCCAAAGCGTCGCGATCACACGGTAATTAAACCAAAGCTGTCCTCATTTCTTTGTTTGGATACAGAGGTGAGTACACACCTGATGTGCTTCTTGTACAGGCTTGCCCAAAGGACAGTGGGGTTGTTCTCTATATTTAACACATCGGGGTTATTTTAATTTATTTCCACGAATGTTCAAACTGACTTCACAATGACGCACGCGTGAATTCTCTTTTGAACTGAATTTAGGGCTTTTTTGTGACATTTGCACCGGTGTCATCTTTGAACGTTCGTCAATGATGTTTTGTCGTCTAAATCCACTCGGGGTTCTTCTTGGTCCAGTTTAGAAAAAGGTGGATTTGAGGTGACCTTCGCAGGAAGAAGAAGAAGAAGACGAAAAATAATGAAAAGGAAAAAAATGTTAACTTAGAGAAAAAATCAATTAAAATGTTTTCATGCCAGTGTTGAAATAATTTCAGTAACCCGATGTGTCCTGACTTTTGGGCCACCGTCTGTATTGCAGCTGACCCTGTACTGACGTCCAGCAAGACCTTGGCATTGTGAGGTTCACTGTTCTCAAGTGACAAGGGCAACATCGCAGACAATGAGGATTCCAGGTGAGACCATTTGACACTGAGCACTCGGCATACGCGTGGTATCAGGTTATCATCACTCAATAAATACAATTGGGAAGTAATATATTGGTGCTAAATTCAAGTAAGCAACGGCAATAACGATACTGACCGAAACGACATCGTGTCGTACGGTACATCGTGAAAGCGGCTAAATGCTTTCAACGCGTGATGTTTATTCTGAATGTGGAGGAAAACCGGAAGACCCGGAGATAAATCCACGCGACCACGGTGAGAGAGAGAGAGAGACACGCAAACTCCAAATATAGAGCAGCAGGCGTCAGGGTTGAGATCAAACCCACGACCTCCTGCATACCAGGCGAGGTAATTAACATCTCCTAGTCACTGCGGCGCCTCCACGGTGGGGAAAAGAGGAGGCCGTTGATCACGTTACAAAATTGGCAAATTTGAAACATTACCTGAAATTTACTCAATTGATCTGTGTAAACATCGCCGCTGGGGGAGATTAAGGCAGCCGCTCGTGGTGCTGGGCACCCCACCCCCTCGTGTGCCGTGCCGGCCTTCCGAGGTGATCGCTAAGAGCCCTTGCCCCAACAGTCCGTTAAAGGCTCTATGATGCCGTGATCCGCGCGCGCAGTGTTCGTGCAGATCGTGGGGGTCGCCCTGTTTCTCATCATGGTGCTGTACGTGGGAAACCGCACGCTGGAGCTCAACCTGGAGAAGAAGATTAAGGACATGTTGCCAGCTGGTGAGAGTTCAAGCCACAGGATAACTGGAATTCACACACACGCCCACACGGCAACGCCGCAGGTGCCTTTTGTTAAAAATAAAAGTGCTTTTGCTCTACTCTACTGAAGGTAATCTGATTAATTTTAGGGTCGGGTGGTGTATATTCGTCCATTAACCTCAGCGGGTTGAATTCCTGCCCACGGTTCACATCAGTGGTGAGCGATATTCCGAAGCGATCCTGGGGCTCCCTTGTTTACCAGTCGGCACTGACCTGCGTAGCGAAGTATGTCCAAACTAACACTACGAATGACACTGCACAGAAAGGCCATCATCCAACCGTGGATTGATAATAGCTGCAAATTATTACCTAGTTTTAAATCAATTATTTCATTCATATTGAAACCTGGTGAGCCTCTTACCAATTGTTATCTCTTGCCATACTGCAGGTCACCTCACTTCTGTTTATGCTCCTTTTACCACGCTGCTCCACTCTGGAGTTCTCTCCCGTACTCTATTTTCCAAAATTCTTAACACAATAAAAAAACCAACTTGCTCAATTCAAGAATTGTATAACCGTCTATTTGAGGATACTGCTGCTGCGTTAGATGGTGATGTACAAGCGTGAAATAACGACGACAACAAAAATGTCCAACGCGTTTGACGTTTCGGGCAATGGTCCTTTCATCGCGTGCGCCTCCTGGCACGTAGTTTTCCTCCTGAGGCGGTGTTATTGACGGACGTGTTGGGTTTTTTTATCACGGAAACTTTGCTCAATTCAAGAAATGTGTTCACACTTCTGCTGTTACAACTGAAGTGGTGCTTGGCGTTTTGGGCCTTTCGGCCTGTGCTCAGCAACTGTGGTTTTACAAGAAAATATACAGTGGCAAAGGTGCCTTTTCTTGCCAGTATCAAAATATAACAATAGGTTATGTTTGCATGTTCACCGCAAGTACGCATGGCAAATGCAGACAGGATGCCTTGCAAAAGGTTTTTGTTTGGTATTTTAACATCTCTTAACACCTGTTTTATTGCCAGAAAGGGTAAAATCTATCCTTATGGTGCCAAAGGTATTAGTTTCCTTTCTTTATCATTTTGTCTGCTTGGTAAAGGAAGAAGGTGAATTTTGGTTGTGTGGAAACAGGTTTCTTTTCAGTAAAAACAGGCAGGCATAACCGGACATTTTGTTTCCTTGGCAACCGTAATGGTTGACTTCAGGTTGAATTTTGATTTAAAGCTTTCGTAACTGCAGTGATGTTTGTTTGCACAACCAGGTTGTGAAACGAGGCCCTAAGATTAGGCTTTACCTGGTGAAAACAGGAATGTGTCTGTTCTACGTAAATTCCGCCTCATTTGCGTTCACAAAAGTACGCATGTCGAACAAATACGGAGCACACAAATGCCGTCGAACCCATGTGACACCGAGTTTGATTTCCAGCCAGGACCAACGTCAGTGGCGAGTGATGTCTGAACCGGCCCTGTGTGCCCACCCCTTCACCAATCCGCGCTGACCAGCGTGGTAAAGTATGGTCAGAGAAACCCTTGAAAGCCACGTGGCACAGAGAGGCCCTCGTCAGTGGAATATCCTCGTGTACAATGGGGTTTCTCTGGGCACTCCAAAATCCCTGGCACACGAGGCCAAACGCCCATTCACGGAATTGGCCAAACATCCCCAATACGGGTTCCTCCAGAAAAAGACTCGGTGAGGCCTTCCTGGTTAGACTACGTGATTGTCATCGGCATCATCATCATCATTCGGCTTTGTCTATCCGCTGCTGGATGAAGGCCTCTGCACACCATCGCCATTCCCTCATGGTCCAGTGCTGCTACCGTCTGTCTCACTCTCACGGACCGGACATCTGTGATGAAAGAGCTCCATAGGTCATTGGATTCCCCCAGTCTAAATAAATTTTCAGATCCTGACTCCGGCACTTTTAACCGATCCCGATCACTCCGTCTCCAAGTTGATTGTCCTCTCGAACGCATTCTCTTCTTTGGCTGCTATTCCATCACGGGTACCGTCCATCATCCATCATCCCCCTCGAGTGATGTGTCCGACCCATGCCCGCTCACCTTGGGAATTGGTGTACTTATGCATTTTGAACTTATATACTTTATCTGTTCATATTAAGGGTTTTTGGGTTAGATTGCGAAAGTATGAATGTGTCGTAACCCTCCACCACCCGACACAGCCAGTAAGGTTTGTCATCTTAACAATGCCCCAATTAGTTTACTACTTCAGCCCACCGGTGTGTTGGAGAGTAAATCCACAATATTTACAATTTGAATACAACATTTCTGTGGTAATTACATCCAACATCATCGAGCGATTTGCCAGAATAGCGAGGAAATCCACTTGCTTCCGGTCTTAAATTGTCGCGTTGTTTACGTGACAATCTTTACAGGCTGCGTCGGATGGTGAAGGGTTACGACACATTTATACTTACACGATCTAACCCAAAAACCTCTATTGTGAATAATATTGGTCGCGAAAGCTCGATCTATTTTACATATTTATTTGTAGTGATTTGGTAACATTTCCTATAATTTGTACACCAAACGTTTTTCTTTGTACTGCTTTTTTTTGTAACTTTCTGACCCACCCCTACTGGACATCTGTGGAAAAAAAGCTTCATAGCTCATTGGATTTCTCCAGGATTAAGATTCTGATTACTCCTCTAATTATAAATCATAGGTCTCGTTTGGTTAAATTGTATAGGTATAATGTACTTTTTTTTTACTATTTCACATTACAGTATACCTGCATGATTCAACCCAAAATAAACTAATCATCAAGTTTGTCGAACACGTAAGCTTATCTCAACAAATATTATTCATGATAACGTTTTTTGTTGGGTTAGATCGCGTAAATATCAACGTGCCGTTAACCCACAGCACCCTACGTAGCTAATTAGTAAGGTTTGTCACGTGTACAAAACCTCCCAATTAGTTACTGCCATTTGGTCGCGAAAGATGATGTAAAAAATGTACTATTATGAATTGTGAATGTAGGTAATGGTAGTAATTGTTATTGTTAGTATGCACTAACGATGTTGTTGTTTTTCATGTCATGTGATGAGTGCAGAAATTAAAATCGTGGCTGTTCAGAGAAAAGGTAATTGCACACAAGACAATTACCCGTTTATACTTTTCAATTATAGTAATTTGAATTTTTCGTCATTGTCATCATACATGATCAGTCCACTGCGGGAAGAAGCCCTCCCCAAGGCCTTCGCCATTTGAGGGCACCATGGTGGCTAGATGTTAACTACCTCGCCTGGTATACAGGAGGTCGTGGGTTCGATCCCGATGCTGATGTCTGCATATTATGAGTTTGCATGCTGTCATGGTAACAGGGGTTTTTCCTTCAGCTCCGCTAGTTTTTCCCTCCACATTTAGAACCAACATGCGTTTTGGGGATTTTGGCTGATGTAAAGCCGCTTCGTTGGGCTATTATTTGTGGCCACGTCGCTTCTGATTAAAGAGCTGTATAGCCCAGTGGACCTTACCTGGTAAAATAAAAAAAATAGTTTAGTTTCGTTGACATTTAGTCTCTCAATAATAAAAGCATCTCCCAACGTCTGTGCATCGCAACCTGCACAGTATAAACAAAGACAGCACAGGCAGAGATGGTGAACCACAGTGCAGTCGAAACTATCATAATAATTGGCTGCTGTAAATACACTGGTCTGGTTCAGAAGGGTGCATAGCCTCACGGACCAAACCGTTTTTAGTCACAGTCACAACAAACACCCCCCCCCCACCCATCAGTTTATCATACCATTTATTTTTCCGCCCATGCTAAATCTTTTTTGTAAAAAAAAATCACAGTCGCTAAGCACAAGGCCAAAAAACCCACAACGCCAAGCGGCCAGCCAGCAACAAACAGCACTCGTGAAATGGGTGCCTAAAAAAGCCATGATTGACTGGAACACCAAGACGTTCTTGGTGTGTGTCTTTGTGTGTCTCTCTCTCTGCATGTGTGTCTGCCTGTGCTTCCTTGGTGTGTGTGTCACACTCGGTGTGTCTTTGTGTGTGTCTCTCTCTGCATGTGTGTCTGCCTGTGCTTCCTTGGTGCGTGTGTCACACTCGGTGTGTCTTTGTGTGTCTCTGTCTGCATGTGCGTCTGCCTGTGTTGTTTCCGTGTCTGTGTTTTATCATTCATTATTACCTGATGATGGTCGCTTGTGTTGCAACCGAAACGTCGTATTCTATTATTTTATTTTCTACGTGACTTTACCGAAAGAACCAAAGAGTAATTCCTGCAGTCACGAAAGCTTCGAACCCTGTTGTTGTTGTCGCATTGCTTTGTTCGTGTTTTATTGTTGCTATAGTAACCAGGTTGCTATGGTGTCACCAGGTCCCCGTTAAAATGTATCACTTATTGCCCAGTTGGTTTTACCTGCGCCACGAAAATGTAACCTCACCTAATGAACAAGCTTTTCTTAGCCGTGACCGGGTATTGAATTCGGGGCTCTGCGTTCCTAGCCCGTTAACCAGGTGCTCGTCAACTAAGGTGGTAAGTGGAGGTTGGTAAGTGGAGGTTAGTCAGCGGGTATCATATATTATTATTATTGTTAAGTGCAGCTACTCACACCCGTGAAATGTGTATTAGTCTCACTGCAAATGTATGGGACTTTAGGTGTCTTCCGTCGTGTTCACGGTGTGTGTGCGTGTTAAGCTGCATGCAAATAAGTGCACGTATACGGCACGGGGAGCGGTAGCGTAGCGGTATTTGGCCTCCAGTCGGTCAACGTATCCTGAAAATAAGTACCTGGCGCAGCTGTGGGGACATCAGCGCTGGGGAGACAAAGGCGACCGGGCGTTTTGCTGCTCACACCACACCCACTCCTGTACCAATAACTGGATTTTAATCGGTGCTCGCTCACATCACTTTAACCCAACGGGCTCTGTAGGCGACATGGAGTGTTCTCGATTTGAAGTTTTCGTGACTGCAAGGATCCATATTCTTTGGTTCTTTCGGTAAAGTCACGTAGGTGAAAGAAAGAAAAAAATCACGACGTTTCAGGCTCAACACAAGCGCCCGTCGTCAGGTGGGACCACCACAGCTAGAAACATTTGCTGGGATGGGCAAGAGGGCGCTTGTGTTGTGCCCGAAAACGTCGTGATTCTTTTTTAAATCGTTTTTCTCTTCTTTCTTCACCTACGTGACTTTACCGAAAGAACCAACGAGGGTATACACGGAGTGTCTTTGTCGGCGCGCGTGCGTCCGGAGGAATGTGCGCAGTGGTTTTTAGCACAGTGCGCTGCAGACCTACATTCACCCCAGTTCGATTACCAGCCGAGGTTCAGTGGCAAGTTAGTACCTTGACGTGCATTGGGCAACTCCTTTGTCCGAACAAGATTCCAGCATGCGGAGAAGGACGTGGAGCGGAACATCAGACATGATGTCAAGTAACGCGCGGCACATCCCGTAAACTCAACGGCAGCTTGAGCGGTGTTCAACTTTTGACTTGAAGCTTTCGTGCCTGCAGGGATCCACGCTCTCTGGGTCTTTCGGTAAAGTCACGGAGGCTGAGAAAAATAATAACAGATCGCGACGTTTCGGACGCAACACAAGCGTCCGTTGTTTTTCTACCGACGTGACTTCACCGAAAGACCCTAAGAGTATTGGTGGTTAACTCTCTGTGTGTGTGTGAGTGTGCTGGGTCTCGTAACTGGAGAGCTTTAGGGGGTTATCTCTGTGTGTGTGTGTGTGCTGGGTCTCGTAACTGGAGAGCTTTAGGGGGTTATCTCTGTGTGTGTGTGTGTGCTGGGTCTCGTAACTGGAGAGCTTCAGGGGGTTATCTCTCTGTGTGTGTGTGCTGGGTCTCGTAACTGGAGAGCTTTAGGGGGTTATCTCTGTGTGTGTGTGTGTGTGCTGGGTCTCGTAACTGGAGAGCTTTAGGGGGTTATCTGTGTGTGTGTGCTGGGTCTCGTAACTGGAGAGCTTTAGGGGGTTATCTGTGTGTGTGTGTGCTGGGTCTCGTAACTGGAGAGCTTCAGGGGGTTATCTCTGTGTGTGTGTGTGTGCTGGGTCTCGTAACTGGAGAGCTTTAGGGGGTTATCTCTGTGTGTGTGTGTGTGCTGGGTCTCGTAACTGGAGAGCTTTAGGGGGTTATCTCTATGTGTGTGCATGTGTGCTGGGTCTCGTAACTGGAGAGCTTTAGGGGGTTATCTCTGTGTGTGTGTGTGCTGGGTCTCGTAACTGGAGAGCTTTAGGGGGTTATCTCTCTGTGTGTGTGCGTGTGTGCTGGGTCTCGTAACTGGAGAGCTTCAGGGGGTTATCTCTCTGTGTGCGTGTGTGCTGGGTCTCGTAACTGGAGAGCTTTAGGGGGTTATCTCTGTGTGTGTGTGTGCTGGGTCTCGTAACTGGAGAGCTTCAGGGGGTTATCTCTGTGTGTGTGTGTGTGCTGGGTCTCGTAACTGGAGAGCTTCAGGGGGTTATCTCTGTGTGTGTGCGTGTGTGCTGGGTCTCGTAACTGGAGAGCTTTAGGGGGTTATCTCTGTGTGTGTGTGTGTGCTGGGTCTCGTAACTGGAGAGCTTCAGGGGGTTATCTCTGTGTGTGTGTGTGCTGGGTCTCGTAACTGGAGAGCTTCAGGGGGTTATCTCTATGTGTGTGTGTGTGTGCTGGGTCTCGTAACTGGAGAGCTTTAGGGGGTTATCTGTGTGTGTGTGTGTGCTGGGTCTCATAACTGGAGAGCTTTAGGGGGTTATCTCTATGTGTGTGTGTGCTGGGTCTCGTAACTGGAGAGCTTTAGGGGGTTATCTCTGTGTGTGTGTGTGTGCTGGGTCTCGTAACTGGAGAGCTTCAGGGGGTTATCTCTGTGTGTGTGTGTGCTGGGTCTCGTAACTGGAGAGCTTTAGGGGGTTATCTGTGTGTGTGTGTGTGTGCTGGGTCTCGTAACTGGAGAGCTTTAGGGGGTTATCTGTGTGTGTGTGTGTGCTGGGTCTCGTAACTGGAGAGCTTTAGGGGGTTATCTCTATGTGTGTGTGTGTGCTGGGTCTCGTAACTGGAGAGCTTTAGGGGGTTATCTCTGTGTGTGTGTGTGCTGGGTCTCGTAACTGGAGAGCTTCAGGGGGTTATCTCTGTGTGTGTGTGTGTGCTGGGTCTCGTAACTGGAGAGCTTCAGGGGGTTATCTCTGTGTGTGTGTGTGTGCTGGGACTCGTAACTGGAGAGCTTTAGGGGGTTATCTCTCTGTGTGTGTGTGTGCTGGGTCTCGTAACTGGAGAGCTTTAGGGGGTTATCTCTATGTGTGTGCATGTGTGCTGGGTCTCGTAACTGGAGAGCTTTAGGGGGTTATCTCTGTGTGTGTGTGTGCTGGGTCTCGTAACTGGAGAGCTTTAGGGGGTTATCTCTCTGTGTGTGTGCGTGTGTGCTGGGTCTCGTAACTGGAGAGCTTCAGGGGGTTATCTCTCTGTGTGTGTGTGTGCTGGGTCTCGTAACTGGAGAGCTTTAGGGGGTTATCTCTGTGTGTGTGTGTGCTGGGTCTCGTAACTGGAGAGCTTCAAGGGGTTATCTCTGTGTGTGTGTGTGTGCTGGGTCTCGTAACTGGAGAGCTTCAGGGGGTTATCTCTGTGTGTGTGTGCTGGGTCTCGTAACTGGAGAGCTTTAGGGGGTTATCTCTGTGTGTGTGTGCTGGGTCTCGTAACTGGAGAGCTTCAGGGGGTTATCTCTGTGTGTGTGTGTGCTGGGTCTCGTAACTGGAGAGCTTCAGGGGGTTATCTCTGTGTGTGTGTGTGTGCTGGGTCTCGTAACTGGAGAGCTTTAGGGGGTTATCTCTGTGTGTGTATGTGCTGGGTCTCGTAACTGGAGAGCTTTAGGGGGTTATCTCTGTGTGTGTGTGTGTGCTGGGTCTCGTAACTGGAGAGCTTCAGGGGGTTATCTCTGTGTGTGTGTGTGTGCTGGGTCTCGTAACTGGAGAGCTTCAGGGGGTTATCTCTGTGTGTGTGCATGTGTGCTGGGTCTCGTAACTGGAGAGCTTTAGGGGGGTTATCTCTGTGTGTGTGTGCTGGGTCTCGTAACTGGAGAGCTTTAGTGGGTTATCTGTGTGTGTGTGTGTGCTGGGTCTCGTAACTGGAGAGCTTTAGGGGGTTATCTCTGTGTGTGTGTGCGTGTGTGCTGGGTCTCGTAACTGGAGAGCTTTAGGGGGTTATCTCTGTGTGTGTGTGTGTGCTGGGTCTCGTAACTGGAGAGCTTTAGGGGGTTATCTGTGTGTGTCTGTGTGCTGGGTCTCATAACTGGAGAGCTTTAGGGGGTTATCTCTATGTGTGTGTGTGCTGGGTCTCGTAACTGGAGAGCTTTAGGGGGTTATCTCTGTGTGTGTGTGTGCTGGGTCTCGTAACTGGAGAGCTTCAGGGGGTTATCTCTGTGTGTGTGTGTGCTGGGTCTCGTAACTGGAGAGCTTTAGGGGGTTTTCTGTGTGTGTGTGTGCTGGGTCTCGTAACTGGAGAGCTTTAGGGGGTTATCTGTGTGTGTGTGTGCTGGGTCTCGTAACTGGAGAGCTTTAGGGGGTTATCTCTATGTGTGTGTGTGCTGGGTCTCGTAACTGGAGAGCTTTAGGGGGTTATCTCTGTGTGTGTGTGTGCTGGGTCTCGTAACTGGAGAGCTTCAGGGGGTTATCTCTGTGTGTGTGTGTGTGCTGGGTCTCGTAACTGGAGAGCTTTAGGGGGTTATCTCTGTGTGTGTGTGCTGGGTCTCGTAACTGGAGAGCTTTAGGGGGTTATCTCTGTGTGTGTGTGTGCTGGGTCTCGTAACTGGAGAGCTTTAGGGGGTTATCTCTGTGTGTGTGCGTGTGTGCTGGGTCTCGTAACTGGAGAGCTTCAGGGGGTTATCTGTGTGTGTGTGTGTGCTGGGTCTCGTAACTGGAGAGCTTTAGGGGGTTATCTCTGTGTGTGCGTGTGTGCTGGGTCTCGTAACTGGAGAACTTTAGGGGGTTATCTCTGTGTGTGTGCATGTGTGCTGGGTCTCGTAACTGGAGAGCTTTAGGGGGGTTATCTCTGTGTGTGTGTGCTGGGTCTCGTAACTGGAAAGCTTTAGGGGGTTATCTCTCTGTGTGTGCATGTGTGCTGGGTCTCGTAACTGGAGAGCTTCAGGGGGTTATCTCTGTGTGTGTGTGTTGGGTCTCGTAACTGGAGAGCTTTAGGGGGTTATCTCTCTGTGTGTGTGCTGGGTCTCGTAACTGGAGAGCTTTAGGGGGTTATCTCTCTGTGTGTGTGCATGTGTGCTGGGTCTCGTAACTGGAGAGCTTTAGGGGGTTATCTCTGTGTGTGTGTGCTGGGTCTCGTAACTGGAGAGCTTTAGGGGTTATCTCTCTGTGTGTGTGCATGTGTGCTGGGTCTCGTAACTGGAGAGCTTTAGGGGGTTATCTCTGTGTGTGTGTGCTGGGTCTCGTAACTGGAGAGCTTTAGGGGGTTATCTCTGTGTGTGTGTGTGCTGGGTCTCGTAACTGGAGAGCTTTAGGGGGTTATCTCTGTGTGTGTGTGTGCTGGGTCTCGTAACTGGAGAGCTTTAGGGGGTTATCTCTGTGTGTGTGTGCTGGGTCTCGTAACTGGAGAGCTTTAGGGGGTTATCTGTGTGTGTGTGTGCTGGGTCTCGTAACTGGAGAGCTTTAGGGGGTTATCTCTGTGTGTGCGTGTGTGCTGGGTCTCGTAACTGGAGAGCTTTAGGGGGTTATCTGTGTGTGTGTGCGTGTGTGCTGGGTCTCGTAACTGGAGAGCTTCAGGGGGTTATCTCTCTGTGTGTGTGTGCTGGGTCTCGTAACTGGAGAGCTTTAGGGGGTTATCTCTGTGTGTGTGTGTGCCGGGTCTCGTAACTGGAGAGCTTTAGGGGGGTTATCTCTGTGTGTGTGTGCATGTGTGCTGGGTCTCGTAACTGGAGAGCTTTAGGGGGTTATCTGTGTGTGTGTGTGCTGGGTCTCGTAACTGGAGAGCTTTAGGGGGTTATCTCTGTGTGTGTGTGTGTGCTGGGTCTCGTAACTGGAGAGCTTTAGGGGGGTTATCTCTCTGTGTGTGTGCATGTGTGCTGGGTCTCGTAACTGGAGAGCTTTAGGGGGGTTATCTCTGTGTGTGTGTGCTGGGTCTCGTAACTGGAGAGCTGTAGGGGGGTTATCTCTCTCTGTGTGTGTGTGCTGGGTCTCGTAACTGGAGAGCTTTAGGGGGGTATCTCTGTGTGTGTGCGTGTGTGCTGGGTCTTGTAACTGGAGAGCTTCAGGGGGTTATCTCTCTGTGTGTGTGCATGTGCCGGTTCTCATGGCAGAGATCGAGAATATCTCTCCGGAGGAGAAGAAGCCGTATTTCAAGTGCGGTCTCCCAGAACCGTGCCCCGACAACCACCTGCCCTTCCGAGTGCTCACGGGCGCGGCCAACATCGTCGGACCAAAGATCTGCCTGGACGATAAAATGTGAGGGGGTTGGTCGTGTGGCTCGGAGGGCCCCTCGCACCATGTCAGAGAGCGCTCACGTGTCACTCGTCACGTGTCACTCGTCACGTGTCACGCGCCGCACCACCCACACAACCCTCCTCCTCCCCTTCCTCCTGTCCACTCTGCAGACCTCACCGCACCAAAAGCCACCATTGGCACGCTTCAGTTACCGTATTGTGCTGAAGCACTTTGGGACCTGCTTGAGTGTCCGAGATTCACTCCTGCACTGATTTTTTTAAAAATTGTATTGTTTGGGGTGAAGTTCTCGCCAAGCCATCTCTCTCAGTCTCACGATGCAACAATCCATCAATGCATGGGTGTATGTTGAACTTCTTTCACACCGCACATAGCCTACCGTGCTAATCAGAGGTGTGGGTGAAAAACAACAAACTAAACACGAAAATAAATTCCGAAGAAATGTTTTTCCAATCTAGATTTAAAAGTGCATAGCTCGAGAGGCTTCCTAATATAGGAAGGAAGAGCGTTCCAGACGACCGCAGAAATGCATGAGCAAATCTCGTCGCTCCACCATCGCTCCACCATTTCCGCTGAGGTTATCCTCTCATGGCTGTGTTCCTCCCTTTCCGTGTCTGATGTTCAACTTACGCTTTCAATTTGTTCAATTGAAGGCCTCCCCAAACTGTTTCCATTTGCCCCGGCCTTGCGTTTAGCTCCCGTGCATGAGCTGATTTCATCTCTCTGTCTCCGTGGTGGATATCATTTTGGGCGCCACGGTGGCAAGATGTTAACTACCTCGCCTGGTATACAGGAGGTCGAAGGTTCGATCCGGACCCTGACGCCTGTTGTATATTTGGAGTGTGCGTGTGTATCTTTCCCCGTGGTCGCGTGGACTTTTCTCCGGTTCCTCCGCATTTTCCCACCACGTTTAGAAACATGCGTCTGTGAAAAAGAGCTTCATCGCTTAGTGGGCCTTATCGGCAACCTGCAACTCATCGGTGGTGCTGAAGCGGTAATAACTTGGCATTTTTGTTCACCAGATGCGGGTGGAGGGAGGGTGTACGACACAAAATTTTATAAGAAATCACTTATCAATCATGATATTGGTCGCGAAAGCCCACGTGTTGAATTTGTTTTAGATTTACATGGGAAGCGGAGTACCCGGACGAAACCCGTACATACGAGGGGGAGGACACAGGCGGTGGGGGGGGTGTAACACTCAAAGGTTTGCAAAGACTGTCTTACGGATCCACTTGCTGTACTGCCCTCTGCCGGCCAACTTACTTCCCAGCGGGTGTGTTGCACAAATCTGTGCATGATCCACCAACCTTGCCTCCAGTGCCTTGGATGGCGGCAGGCCTGCATATCCACCGCGCCAGGCTAACTAAATCAACGTGCAAATGAAAAATGGGCAAAGAAGCGTGGGGAGACAGGAATGCCACGCTCGGAATGAAGGATGAGCAACTGAAAAAGAGGAAAACATGGACGAGGGAACAATCGGAGGTGAAAGGGCTGCTATTTAGCCCCCTGTTACAAGCAGCCCCTTTTGCCCACTTCAGTAATTTGTTTCTTGCTGTGGTTGTCCCACCTGATGACGGGCACTTGTGTTGCGCCCGAAACGTCGTGATTTTATTTATTTTATTTTCTACCTACGTGACTTTACCGAAAGAACCAAAGAGAATGGATCCCTGCAGTCACGAAAACTTCAAATTTAGACCATTCCGACTATTAAGAAAAGCTCGCTCGGGGCAGGTCACGTTGCGAGAAGGGATGCTGGCCGATGATCGAGGACAACGACGATGCCGTAGAAGCCGAGGAATGGAACGCACCCGAGAGGGCCTCCGTGCCGGAGATGGAGCGATGAAATCAGCTCCTGTACGTGTACTAGATCAGGGGGTCGGCAGACGCGCGGCTCTATGAAGGAACTGCTTGGCGAGGTTATTTAATAAGGACCACCGTCTCGTATTCACGTGCATTGCGGCTCTTGAAATATCGAGTTTATTAGGGAACTCGAAAAAAATGGCACTTCTTGTTATTTTGATTGCCCCACCCCTGTACTGGATGGATTGTTGTTGTATCGTGGAGGGATCTTGGATGATGGGGGACAGTGCCGGATTATCCCAGTAGCAAAAGTAGCTACACATGCTACGGGCCCCGCACTTTCAAGGGCCCCGCGCTAAACTATTTCAAGCAATCAATTCCGGTTCAGTGATTATGCACTTGCTCTATTACTATAGTACTATACCGCCTTCAACTTTAAAGAACGACTGGGTGTTTCAGGTTAGCGATTTGTCGTATTATCTGGCTGTATAGCAAATGAAAAAATACAATTACTCTACTGTTGAAGTAAAAAAATATTTGTTGTTTTATTTAAGGCCCCTTTATAACATATGCTACAGGCCCCGCATTAGCTTAATCTGGCTTTGGGGACAGATTGGGGAGGCCTTCGTCCATTCGTGGATTGATCATGGCTGATGAGTAATAGTCTAATGGACTTGCCGGTTACTGCAATAAATCCTTGCTCTACTGCTGCTGCTGATTGCTGTTTGCTACTGAATGCCGTCGCAGAATAATGAGCAGCGCCAGAAACAACGTGGGACGGGGATTCAACATCGTCATCGTGGATGGTGAGTTTACTTCCATGTTGTTGTTGTCTGTCTTGATATATCATTGTGCGAACCGGTCCCGGGCCTCCCCCGAGGTCGACTCCGGCCTCAAGCGAGTGCTCGGTGCGGTGTGTAAACATCGCCACCAAGGGAGATAGAGGCGGCCGGGCGTGGTGCTGGCCAGCCACCCCCTCGTGCGTCGTGCCGGCCTTTGTATTTGGGTGGAACGTTCCTAGCGGTTAGCACACGCAGTTCTTGGCAACCACGATCTGTAGCAGCTGGGAGAAGCTCCACGTGAACTCTCATGGACATTTTGAGAATAATTATCATAATTTTAAAAAATGTGGTTTTGCCTTTTAATAATTTGTACACGAGTGGGTTTAAGGCAGTCGACGCATCCTGCCTTCCGAAGGCAGGAAACCCCCCTACAAGCCACGCCCCACAGTGACGCGGATAATTAGCATGCCGATGACATCACCGAAAGGGCCCCGCCCATCAACCTCTCATCCACAGGTGATGGGCAGGGTGAAGCTTTTTTTTATCTTTTCCCCAACCGCGTTTGTTACTTGAAGAGCTGAGCAAACGAAGCGAGAATCGGAAAGAGTTATCGGTTACTTGTGTAATTGACGAACCCGGGTCTTGCTGTGTGTGTGTGTGTGCATTCTCCTCCGATTCGTGTTGATTCTCAGGTGTGAAGGGAAATGTTTTGGAAGTTCACACCTCGGATGTGTACAATGGAGGTAAGAGAGTTTCCTTGGATGTCTCCTCTTCTTTGCTCCTCTGCCCAACTCAAACTCCAACCTCGAGCACTGTGTAGGTTTTCGCGGTTGTCCCCGACAGTCCTCGTGGGGAGTGGTGGCGCAGCGGTTAGCGCGCTGCGTCACGAACCCAGCGACGCGGGTTCGATTTCCGGCTCGCGGCCAACACCGGTGACTGATTGTCTGAACCGGTTCTGGGCCTCCCCTAGCTCGACTCAGCCTCAAATGAGTACCTGGTGTGATGTGTAAACATCGTCACTGGGGAGACAAAGGCGGCCGGGCGTGGTGGTGACCAACCGCCCCCTTGTGCGCTAACAGCACTTGCCCCAACAGTCTGTTACAGGCTATATGGGAGGGCTTTGTCTGTGGTACGGCCCTCCATTGCGTTTGTCTCGTCACTGCGTGTTGCGTGGCACGGTGTCCGACGTTTCCCTCCACGTGCTGGAAGCTTCTTCAGGAGCAATTAGATCACGACGTTTTGCTCGAGACTACATCGAGCATCATCAGGGCAAGATCCAGGACGTCAAATTTAACAGATCCAGGACGCTGAGACTGTTGGGCAGATCATAAGGTGGCCCAAACCCAGCAATGGTCTATTCCTTACACAAATGGATGTGTTTGTTTATTCCTAGAAATCGCTAAACTCATCGCGTTCCTGAAGACCATAAAGGACGGCTCGATCGCAATCATCGCCTCGTTCGACGACGCGTCCACGAAGTGAGTCTCGCTGCGTTTCATCGCAACAGCAGCAGCAGCAGCAGAAGCGCTAAACTGCCTCACGACACTGCGCCTCTTATTCATCGGACGCGGTTGTTTTTTTTTCCGTTCGTTCCTCATCGCGTGCGCTGTTACACAGCAAGTCGTCCTCGTTTAACGCGGTAGATGCCTTCGCGAAAACAATTTCCCCCGTGAGCAACGTAATGATAAAGTGTTTGGTGCGATACGGTGCACGCGCGCGCACAGTGAGATGGCGGGACAAGCAGCTTGGGGTAAGGAGCCGCCGCGTTTCCGTATCATTCCGCCTACCGCGTCGCACCGCTCGGCTGCTGCAGCTCAAGAAAGTAGTTCGTTGTCAACCGCTCGTGAACCGCGTCACGAGGGCGAGCGCAGAGTGTTCCCTCCTCGTGTGTAAGAACCCTGTGGATAGCAAAACACGCGCCAGCGGTGGACTTGCCGCACACGGACGCACTTGCACGGGAGTGCATGCTGCGTTACATTGTCGGCAGAGGGCAGTGCGGACAAGGATCCATTGTTGGACTCCCCCTCGCCCTCCCCGCCCTCCCCCAACGACTTTTCTTGCACATTTAAAATGTTGCCACCTGTGACCCGCACGGCGTGGGCAGGCCTCGTGGTCAGAATGTGACCGCGACGTGGAAGTATACAGCCCACCGTTCGTAACCGAAGCGCGACGTCCGCCGCCTCCGTCGGACACCCCGTGGCACAGGGGCAGGAACCGTTGTGGAAACTGGCAGTTTACGTGTGTGGGGTTCTGAGCAGTGGCGGGTACGGTGTGGTATTGGGTTATCGTGGGTACCGGTACAGTGGTATCGGTATGATGGTGCCGGGTATGGTGGCATGGGTATGGTGGTATTGGGTTTGATGGTAGTTGTGTGGTGGGACCGGGCATGGTGGTTCCTGTATGATGATACCGGTACGGTGGTTCCTGGTAATTGTGGTACCATTTTGGTGGTACCATTATGGTGGTTCCCTTCACATACCAGCACGCCTCGATCGCCGTGTGCATCTACGAAGACGGCGTCGTGTGCTCGCGACATCGGGCGGTGACGGGCACGGCCTTTGGTTAATTTGACCGGCTCGCCGTGCCGCCGCGTAACTGACTTCGGCACAAAACATCCCAACGCTGGAAATTACCCGCGAAGAAATCACTCTATTGAGATCGCACGTGGCTGGCAACAAACAACATCCGTCGCCCTCGACTGCAAGAAGATGACACAGGACCTTTGCTGAAAAGGAGTCTTGCGACTCCGTGATGCTTTCCCGGGAAGCACGCTTAATAATCTCTTTGTTTTACTCGTCCGCTCTGCAGCTTGAACGACGAGGCTCGGGGTCTGCTCGCGGACCTGGGAAGCAAGTTCATCAAGGACCTGGGCATGCGCGACAACTGGGTGTTTATTGGAGGCAAGGGGCTGAACCTCAAAACGTCCTACGAACGGGTAAGGGTTGACCCCCTGTCGAAGCGCAATTACCGGTTAATCGCCGCACGACTCGCATTGTAAATGTTGTGGGTTTACTCTCCAACACACAACCGGTGTGCTGTACTAGTGACGAATTTTTTTTATGTTTTGTTTACGTGACGAAACCTTGCTAATTGGCTGTGTCCGGTGGTGGCGGGTTTTTCGACACATTTCTTTCATGGGACCTCTTTTGTCGGTATCAAAGTATGAAACATAAGAATAGGTTTTACCCTTTCTGGCAAAACAACAGGAGGTGTTAAGATGTTCAAACACCAAATAGAAACCTTTTGCAAGCCATCAAGTCTGCATTAACCACATGTCCTTGTGGTGAACATTCAAACAAACATGCTCTGATAAGAAATGCATTTTCTTTGAAACCGATTGGCCTATACCAGACACTATAATGGTAGGAAACGTAGTGGACTGGAAGCCCAACCGGGATTAATTCACAGGAGGCAGGGGATTCATTGTGTATGTCTGTGGATCTCTGTCCACGTGTATTCGGACACCCGGATAAAATGGGAGGGGCGGGGCTGGTGGAGAGGGGAGGGTGGGGAGGGGAGGGTGGGGAGGGGAGGGTGAGGGGAGGGTGGGGAGGGGCTGGGTGGGGGGTGGGGCTGGGTGGGGGGTGGGAGGGGTGGGGCTGGGTGGGGAGGGGCTGGTCACCCTGTGGTGCCCTTATAAAACTCAACATTTAACCTACTCACGCCGGCTTGTGCTCGCCCTCACAGTCGGGCATATTTGCGGAATACACCACGTGGTGGTGCCGCCATTGACCCTGGCCATTGACCGAGCAACCCAACGTTCCTACTACCAGCTCCCTCCGCAGGAGAATGTGTTTAACGTTCTCTGGTCCTGACACTGGTGAGACCGGGACACATTTATATTCACGCGATCGAACTCAAGAAACCTCCATTATGGATAATGTTTGTCGCGAAAGCCCACTATGTGTTCACCTGCACGCGCTCTCTCATGCCGATGGGCGTCCGTGGCTCCAGATTGAGCAGGAAACCGTGCAGGTGAATTTATTGAGAAATTCGAACGCGCTGGCAGTGGCTTTTCTTACATAGACCTACAGTGATATGTGAAGCCTCACTTGTCGACTAGCAGAGGCCCGCTCACAACTCACTCACGGCTCTGCAAACTGTTCATCTGCAAAGATAAAAAAAAAGATGAAGCACCAAAAATATGTTCATGTGAAGGGGGCGTTTAGTGTGCAGTCATTGGTATGGCTTCTAAATGTTTGCACGGCTCAACCAGGACACATTGGGAGCTGGCAGCCCCCCTCCCTCTGCTAGCCCTGCCCGCTTTCGCATAGCCACTCCCACTCAACCGCTATCCCCGCCCACTACTCATGTAGTCCCGCCCTCTACTCAGAATGCCTCAGCCACTACTCTACTGGACATGTGTGACTACCGGAAATGAGCTTCATAGCTCATCGGATTCCTGCAGTCTAAATAAAGACTCGGAATGTGATTCCACTCTGGTGGCCCTGGCCTTTGCTCGCATCACGAGTCGAGCGTGAGGCCACACCATCTAAAACTAGCAACAAAATCCCACATTTCACAACACCTTCATGGCAGACACAGTGACAGCCTCTCTGAAACCACCTGGACTATCCCAGCCAAACCGGAGTGTTTGGGTTGTTGGTTCATTAGTGACCTGGCTGAGACCATTAGCTCACCACTCTTGATGTCCGTCAGGACGTGTCCAGCGGACTGGCGACCTCTGTGTTGCAAGGCGTTGCTGTGACATCATAGGGAATGACATCACTTCCTGCGATGTCATAATTTCGGTTCGATATTAAACACATTTTTGGATCCACTGTTGGTTCGTATCTAGGTCCAAGTTTTGTGAACAGATCCCTGCACGTGCTGGAGGAGGAGGAGGCTTTCACATGGCTCTGTGGCTACGTGGGCTGACGTCCACTCGCACCTACATAACATTGACAAACATCTTCTTTGGTTCTTTCGGTAAAGTCACGTATAAGGGAAATGATAAAATATATATTTTATTGTAATAGTTTTTACCCTTTTAACTGTTAAAAGGGTAAAACCTATTACTATATCTTGTTACTGGCAAAGGAGGTTTCATAATATATTTTAACGTTTCCCTTATACGTGACTTTACCAAAAGAACCAAGAATATGAATCCCTGCAGTCACGAAAGCTTTAAATCAAAATTGACGAACGTATTTTTGTTCTCGCATATCTGGCGCTCTCAACTATGTGACAGTCACGTCCAAAAGCATTCGCGAAAGAAAACTCCCTCTTGACGTCAAGGAGAAGGGCGATTACAGTTAGCGACCAGGAGAGGGCGACATTGGCTTGAGCGAGTGCGGAGTGTGGATTGCAAACTAAGCCACGCAAACTATTCACCGCCCCAACATTCGATTAATTCTATCTCACTCGTTTTGACTCTCTCGTTTGTATTGGCTATCATTTGCGTGGTTTTGGTTTCCTCCATGAGCCTTAATGCAACGTGAGCTTATCGTTTGGATTTCAGTTGCATACTTCGTAAATGTGCATCCATAAGCTCACGATTTGATGTCACAGCAATAAGGATACATTATTTTTTTCGACGAATCGACGCGTCGCCATGCCTATTAGGGCAATGTCTCTGCTATGAAGTAGGGCCATTACCTGTTGTTGATGCATGTGTTTAGTTGTGGGCCACTACCTGTGCAGTATAAAAAAAAGTTTCTTGTAGTTCGTGAGATAAGTACAGGGACTCCTCTCCTTATGAACGATTCGGGTTCCAGAGGGCTGTTCGTAAGTCAAAATTTACTCCTGTCGATTGCAAAAATGTTGTACGGCATGTACACGAAACACAGGGAATGGCTTTAAAAGATGTCGATGCCACAGCTTCTTCACGTTCTACAGATGTAGATGCCACCACCGGCATCGATTGCGCCGCGGTTTAACTTGCGACTCTCGATCCGAACAGGCAACTGGACATACGGACAGGTTTGTTCGTAGCTCTGAAAGTTCGTAAGTCGAATGTTCGTAAGTAGAGGAGTCCCTGCATGCATGTGGCTGTCGTTGAAATGTCGATCGTCAGGCGGTGCTCAGAGTAAGAGTAACAGGATAAAGGTACGGCCCCGAAATGTCTTTCTCAAGCCACTGCTGGCAGAAGTGCCTCCACCCGAGGGAGCTCTCGAGGGCAATTGGTCCACTCTTCCACGCTGGTCAGTTGTGTTGTAAGATGCGGGAGTATACCCACGCTTGATCCCACTGCACGCACCCTTCTGATGGCGATCGCACTGTGGTGTAACACGGGTCTATACCGCTCGGTTGACAGAAGCAGCGGGGATATTATTATTTTTTTTACTTGGCACATTGCTTCAACTGCCGCACCGGGAGATGGAATCGAACTGGCGACCTCTGCATTGCAAGGCATTGCCGTGACATCATGGAAGTGACATCCCTTCCCGTGATGTCAATATTTCGGAGTCGATCTTCAAACAATGTTATTGGATTCTCTGCGAGGTCGCATCTCCAGGGCCAATGTTCGGTCTTTTCTGAATAACCAGATGAGTGTTAACAGATCCCCAATGACAGTCTGTTCACCGTTGTTGTTGTTGTTGACTTGTCACCCTGGCAGCACATCAAGAGCAACAAGGATACAAACAAGTACGAGGGCTGGCCTGAGCTGTTGGAACTTGAAGGCTGCATCCCTCTGAAGTTGGATTAAGGCTCAGCCACGTGTCTGTGCGGGAATTCACGGCAAATGTTGGGAAAGCACATCCGTATTCATCTTCCGTATTTTCAAACTCCTCTGAAACATGTACAAGCACAACTCGAAAATGTATTGCTTCAATATTCTGTTGCATTCTAAAAATGACTTGATGCAACCCAGATTACCCCTTCAAATAAAGGCAACGCACCATGTTTCTCAACGGCCCTTTATTTCGTTTCCTAGTTAAAGAGTAATACTACAATTCTGTAAGTACAACTTTTTTTTATATATATAAGGCCATTGGCCTCCCTTGGCTTTCCAGACCAACAGCGTTTGCTCGTAAACTCTGAGATGGTTTCGACCTTCTGGGCATCATCAGTAGGGCCGGGCCTATTTAAAAACAAATTACAGCGTTGCTTTTGCATGCTGTCCACTTTTGGAGCTTCGGGAGTGTGAATTTTCGTTGATGGGTTTCCCGTTGAACCGCGTTATATGATTGGCATGGCAAATCCCCCCACCCCTCACCCATTATTCAGCAATGAGGCTTGTTAAATAAATGCTGCGGAGTTGGAAGATTGCACAGAGAAGAAGCCCTGTTCAATATTAATCGCAATATTGTATACAACATTGATTGGAGTTATGCTTCCTAAAAAAAAAATATTTACCAGGTAAGGCCCACTGAGCTATGTAGCTTTTCTTCAGAAGCGACCTGTCCACAAATAATAGCTCAACAAAGTGGTTTATCTTGTGGAAATTTATATCAGTCAAATACTAAATTTCGATTTAAAGCTTTCGTGACTGCAGGGATTCATATTCTTGGTTCTTTCGGTAAAGTCACGTAGAAGGGAAATAATAAAATAATAAAAACCAAACATTTAATAAAATTCTCACGACGTTTCGGCCATCCTCAGGTGAAGAACAGAGCTGTCAGAAAGACAGCTCGCGTTGTGAGAATTGTATTTTATTATGTTTGATTTTTATTATTTTGTGGCCGAAACGTCGTGAGAATATTTTTTTATATAATGTTTTATGTTTATAATTTTATTATTTCCCTTCTACGTGACTTTACCAAAACGGCCACATACTCTCAAACGTATGTTTCTGATTGTGGAGGAAAAAACCTGATGACCCTTAGAGAAATGTACGCGACCACGGGGAGAACATGAAAACTCCAAATATACAGCAGCAGGCGTCAGGGTCGGGATCAAACCCATACACTCCTGCATACCAGGCGAGGTAGTTACCATCTCGTCACCATGGTGCCCTCATATGCTTTCACATATGCTTTTACCCATAATCTTTCACATCAAGGCATGAGTCTATATAAAACATGTGCACTCCAAGTAAGACGTTTTAAGTGAGAAAAATAAGCATGGGGTTTTTTTTCATTTCAAGGTTAGGTAAATTATTCCACTTAGAAAAATAAATGATTATCCTTTTTCATTTTTTCTTTAAATAATAATGTAAATACGTGTGATGGTGTTCAATGGGATGTCATTTTTTTAAGGAATATATTTTTAATTCATATTATTACATTTTCACACACCTTTAAAAGATAAGTCAAATGGAAATAGTGCTTATCTGAAAACAAACCTATTAATTCAAATACCAGTGGAGCATATTCATCCTCTCAGTACTTAATTGCACCCAGAACAGTCTGAAATACTGTTCCAGGAATTGTGTTTGCACTCCACCTCACCTTAATTTATTCTCAGAGTACAGTAATATAATAATATATTTCTTATGTGTAGGCATACCTTTGTATTCTAGTGGTAGTGCCTTACACCTGCTCCAAATCCAGCCCTAGCAGTGTTCCAGAAAATATCGAGCAAGAAATTAAGCCCTGTTTACACTCTTGATACTGCTGGCAAAGTAGTTTAGATCAGTACTTTTTGTAGGGGTGCGTTTGTATGTTTCAATTAGAATTTGACCCTTCTGAAATGTTACACGATTGTGTTTATGAACGGAAGGTGTAAAAGTAGGATTAACAAAAATTGCCCAAATACAACTCTGGCCTGTTTATCTTGTTGGTTTACAAAGTTAAGAAAGGTCCGGCCGCAAAAGTCAGATTTGTTGTGTCCCGTAAATATTAAAGGTTGTAAACTTGTACGGTTTCTAAAGACGATTTATGGTGACAGGTGAAGGTATATGTATGTCTATTGAATAAGTGTCTTATTATTAAATATTTCTGTTCAGGTCATGTGAATTTGAGCATTGATTTTAGACTGCCGAATCATGGGTCATCAGAATGATTTAGCACATTTGTTATTTGAGACATTCTTAAAGCACAAGTATATCACTCGGGCTCTGTGTTTTTCAGACAATTATAGTCTCCCAGTAGTGAGCGATGTTCATATTAGATTCTACCCAATTAAGCAATTTGCGAGTAATTCTTCAAATATGCAATTATTTCAATTGCGACGCTGGGATGTTGAACTTCTTTCGCATCTTACGACATGACATTGTCAACGTCCACTTTGAAGCGGATGGCAAATAATTACGAATAATTCGCCACGGCATTAACCAGGACGGCCGTTCGTTTCCGAACCACGAACATTTGCAACAAGCCGCGAATGCGCATCCGGGTGACCGTGTCGTAGACAATAATCACCGCTCGATGACACGATCTAAAACGCATCGCATAGGCAATTATCCCCCATTGTTGCCGATGGAGGCATAGGCTAGCTTTCGCCGAAAACCAAATTCAAAGGAACTTTGTCTGAGAACCGGTAGTTCAAAGCGAACATTCATGACCACAGGCACTCTAGGCGGAGGGGGCGTCGATATGTTAAACACAGAGCGGTTGGTGGCAGCTCTCTCGCAAAAAAAACACTGTCACGTGTACACGTACACGCAGGCTCATCTCAATACGCGTTTCCCCTTGTGTCCGCCCTTGAGTCTCCCTAGTGTCACCCCCCCCCCCCCCCTCGTGTTCCCCATGAAGGGCACGTGGGAGTGGGTAGAGAGCCTGTTCCCCCACATTCCCTTTGCTTTCATCACGAGTCAGCTTTTGAATTGGCCTCCTCGTGTTCAGCCCCCACGGCTGAACTCCAAATGTGTCGCACGCACACTGAAGTGAGTGGTCACATGAGCCCCCGGAGTCCGTGAGTTGGCATCTCCTTTGGAACGAAACGTACTGATGTGTTTCTAGTGAAAGTGTGAGCATGTTTGAGAAAGATTTTCTCTCTCTCGATAAACTTTCCCGAGTTGTATGTGAGCAAGCGTTTGCACGTTCGTTTCAGAAGAGCATTGCAGTTAAAACTGTAATGCTGTCCTTCATATGTTCCCGATAAATTACGGTTAAAGATTGCACACTAGTATTCGTGAATTTTCCTTGAAGATGCAATGGGAGAAACATTTTAACTTGCATAATGTAGGGTCAAAATTGGAGGGCGAATGGTTTAAAGGCCCAAAACCTTACCCAGATTGCTGCGTATAACAACAAATCTTTGTGCGTGCGTTAATTACGTTGCATGCCTCCGACTTCATCCTCTCCCCATCACACCAAAGCCATTTTTAACAAACAACAGCGTAATGGTGCAGCACTAAAATTGCTTACTCACGCCACTGCTGCTGGAACGGCCTCCACTGACAGTTCTAGAAAGCGCCTCTGGGAGGGTACTTTTGAGCAGGCGTCTTGGAAGAGGTGGGAATAAACCCACACTTTCATAGGGGCCGTCCATAAATGACGTCACGCGATTTTGGACGATTTTTGACCCCCCCCCCTTCGTCACACGGTGTCACGAAGTCAGACTCCCCCTCAAATATGACGTCACAAAGCTCTGCCCCTCCCCCCCCCCCAAAAATATAAAACATTCTTCAAATCGCTTTCAACTATTGTCATTGTAGTGCGTATTTAATGTGGCGCTGCACCCTGATGTTGTAGGAGAAAACATTTATTAAAAAGTATATTTAATTAAGTGGAACGTGTTGTCTATATTTATTTAAAGTTGCGCATTTTGATGTGACGTCACATTTCTCAACCCCCCCCCTCCTCGTCACACATCGTCACAAATATCTGACCCCCCCACATGCGTGACGTCATTTATGGACGGCCCCATAGCTGTCAGCCCCTTATCAGTGCCTACCTTATTACAGACCAAATGAGACCTAATTGGTAAGGCTGAACGATTTGGGGAAAATATCTAATTGCGATTTGTCTGACAGATATTGCGATTGCGATTTGATTTTGGATTCCATTTTTTTTAAAGTCAAGCTTCAGTTCAATATTCACTGTGTAATATATTTAAAACACGTGATGGAGCATTACCACATCATACCATCAAAATATGAACTGCTCTATATATTCTAATGCAAGGATGAAAACTTAAAAGATATTAATTGCTTCCCACATGTATTTATTAAAATGTTTAATTGATATAGAACAATCAAACATAGAACAATTGTTAAGTTAAGTAAATAAAGTTATAATAAGAATAACAAATATAACAATTCCAATAAGAAAGTAATCGGACTTTTCAAATTGCAAAAAATCGCAGCCTTTGCGATTTGCCAATCGCATTGTTTCAATTTGCGATTTCGATTTGAAATCGATTAATCGTTCAGCCCTACTGATTGGTCACCCCATGCCCCTTATACATCTCAACGTTCATTCTACAATCTTGACTTAAAGCTTTCGTGACTGCAGGAATTCATATTCTTGGGTATTTCGATAAAGTCACGTAGATAGGTTCAAAGAAAATAACAAAAGAAATTGTTATTATATGTTCATTCTACAAATTCCCATCACAAGGGAGAAACACAAACAAATAGACGATGTTTTTATTGCCCGTATTGAAACGGCTGTACGCCTTATGGACCTGAAAACTCAATTTCCCTGCACAAGAATACGGGGTAAACCGCATGGGAATACGGGTATGCAATGTATCCCACAACACTCTGGCGTACGCATTTATAATGCTGGGCGGACAGAGGTCAGGTGGGGCGGGGTATTTAAGAAACTTGGACAATGTATCGAGTGCCGTGTCTGGGTAATCAAATCGAACGCGCGACCTCCGGAAGGAAACAAACATTGACGGCCCAACATCGTCGTCCATAAACACTGCATTGCAAAGTCCAGAGTGCAAAATGGGACCTTTTTTGTGCGAGTATCAAAGTACGAAATGTTCACCACAAGTACGTGTGCTTAATGCAGACATGATTCCTTGCAAAAAAAATAATTTGGCGTTTGAACATCTTAACACCTTTGATTTAAAGCTT